TCAACTGAATGCACATAAAATTTTAACCTATTCTATTCCAGGAAACATGGTAGGGGCTGAAAGTAAAAATATAAGACATCGGCTTGACCTTGAGAAAAGTCTTCTGAGAGTTGGGAAAGGTAGGACAGACATAAACACACACATATAACTGAATATAGTAAGTGCCGAGTTAACATTACGTGATTTGGTAAAGGTATACAGAGACAACATTTGGCCCAACCTAAGGAAGTCTTCAGAAAAGACTCCCTGGCAGAGGTGACACACTTTTTGTCAATTCACCAGTGAATATACCAGTGAAAGCCCACTAGACTCCAGGTACCAGAGGAGGATCAGGAGTTAGGTGAACTCAGATTAGACAGCACCAGTTGAGAATGGCACACAAGACTGACCAGGAGCACAGAAGAACTGAGTCTGCCAGACTCCTGGCCTGGCCACAGCCCCAGTGTGTGGCCAAGGCCAGTTTCAGCTGCAATGATTTTCATAGGGTATGATGCCAAGGGTGTGAGGAAGGCCTTCTTCTCCTCTGCTCCAATGCTTGCCTCACCTGCCTGCAGGGCTCACAATTATTTTAACGGAGCAACAGGCCCTCTTTTCAACAATTAGTAAGAAGTTGTTGAGCTTTATGAAATGGTGAGCGTAGGCCTGGAGTGGAGATAGCATTCCACCTACAAAAAGAATCCAGGATTTACTAATAGTCTGTTCTATCCATAGTGGAGACCTTTTTTAAGGCTTCTTTTCTTCTATTTTTACACAGAGGAAATGATCTCAACTTTTCTCAAAAAAAAAAAAAAAAAAGTAAAGAATCCTGAATAGAAATGAGGCTGGAACACTTAAAGTGTTAGCTGCAATATCAACTCTCAGGAACACTGTGCAGCATCTTGTCCTTATTCCTTAGGGCAATATGCCTCAGGGTCACTTTACCTATCTGCCCATGATTTGGTGTTGAGAGGATAAAGCTGGTTATGCTGCTCTGCCTTGTCAAGTCAAGTTAGATGGTTTTTTAAAATATCACTTATTTGTATTTAACTTTTTGATTCCTGTATCCACAAATCTTCTATTTAGAATTGCCCTAGGTAGGCCTTTATTTCAAATAACCTACCCCTGCAAGCTCACATCAATGTCATTTCCTAAGCCAGTCAAGAGTAAGGGAATGCGACACTGAGAGGTTCCCGGCCCTCCCTGTCTTCAAGCTGTAGACCTTTGCTATTAACTGTCTGTGAACCTAGGCCCTCTTAGGTCAAGTGAGTTAACAAATAAATTCATAAATGGCATTGTTTCTATTAAAAGGTAGGTACTAACTTCTTTTTAATGATTTCATTATTAAAGTCACACACACACACATACACAATACTACAACAAGTTTGGTAACATAGAGAAAGGTCTAGAGATCTCTAATGTAATGCTAATAAACTTTGCAGTGGATAGTACATTGTAGGATCCATTCAAATAATATACTGGATTAAACAGTGTCCCCCAAAATTTATGTCCACTCACAACCTCAGAACGTGACTTTTGATTTGGAAACAGGCTCTTTGCAGATGTAATTAACTAAATCGAGGTCATATTGGAGCAGGGTAGCCATAGCTAATGACTAGTGTCCTTATAAAGAGGACAAGTGGTACAAAGACACATACATAAAAAGGAAAACAGCCATGTGACAACAGAGGCAGATACTGGAATGATGCAGCTGTTCACCAAAGAACATCCAGGACTGTCAGTAACCCCCAAAGCCCAGAAGCACTAGAAGAGGCAATAAGAGATGCTTCCGCAGAGTTCCAGAGGGAGCATGGCCCTCCTGATACCTGAATTTCAGCCTGCTGGCCTCCAGAGCTGTGGGAGAATAAATGGCTACTGTGTTAACCCACCAAGTTTGTCTTAATTTGTTTCGGCAGTCATAGGAAACCAATGCAAATAGTAAATAAGAATATTTACTTCATTTCACAGTCAGTTGAATGTTTTCCTGATTCAAATAAAGAATTTTTTTTGCTCCAAACCCTAAATAGCCAAACCTTATGTGTAAATGGTAGAAGTTCAGTGCTGTATGCTTTATCTATATTAAATGTACAAAAGGCGGAAAAATAAAATCTTCAGGTATAGAAATAAAATAAAACCATAAGGATGTGGGTGTTCAACTGAAGAGGGGAAACAAGAGAAAAGAAAAAGAGATGCGAATCCTTGCAGGAAGCATCTGTGATGCACAAAAGCATTCTCTTCTGTAGCTAAGCTTTGTATTTCAGCTAAGCATTTTTCCCCCTTAACTTATAAAAGCAAGGAACACTTGGAGGTCTCTTTCTCTCTGTCCTAATTCAGCTGTGCTGTAAATTCCTGTCCCATGAGGAAACATCAAGGAGCACGGCCGAGATTATCTTTCTTTTTCCCCTCCGTGATGTATGCACCTGAGCATTTCTGCCGCCTGCACCCCAGAACTCAGTACCCATGAGTGCACCCAGCACCCCACCTTGGCTAGTTCTCCCACCGGGTCTGAGAGGAGACTAAGCAATTCAGAAAGAGGTCTGTTCGGCTCCTGTGTGCAGCCACAGGCCTCCTTTCCCAAACTCACCTGCTTTAGCGTAAGTTGTCCTTGACCTTTCACATGCAGAGAGAAGGCTCTGATAGCACGGAAGCAAATACAAGTGGCTTCAGAGCAGTCTTTTTCTGTTGTAGAAAGGAATCTGCTCTGCCTGAGTTCTATTCCTGGTGCCACTACTCTTCTGCTTCTTTCAGAATTAAGGAAGTAGGATCTGCCTCATCGCTCTATATCCACAGAGAGGGAGGAATGATTTTTACAGCTTACTTTCTTCATCAGGGTACTGTGTGAATGAGCATTGGCTACCATTTCTTCGGGAACTACTATGTGTAGAAGATCAAATATTAGCTTGTTACATCAGCATGGTGTATATCTATTGTATTACTTTTGGTTGTTTAACAAATTATGTAATTAAAATTTTTTTAGCTACAATCCATTGAAACTAAATTAAGCTATCACTTATGTGTCTTCCTTCCAGACAAGGCCATGTTAGCATAGTACAGACATGAGCTATGGTAATGCAGGAGGTGACTGGTGGAGGCAGTGGGGGTAATGGTGGTGAGGGCAGCACCAATGGCATGGTATGTGTGTGCTGGCATGAACTGGGTGATGAATAAACCTAAACGATCCCCAGGAGACTTCACATTTAAAAGAAATCAACTGAATTAATGTGACAAAGAAAATCAGAACATAAGAAGAAAATCCCAGATGAATCACTCCCTAGCTCTTCTGATGTGGGGTATAAAATACAGCTACCCCTCAGTCCCTAAGATGCCCGTGTAGTGTGGGTGGGAGCAGGCTGGGAAGTGATGCCCAGTCTTCTTCAGCACCATTTGCTGATTACTTCAGGAGAATTTGAATGGGAACTTAAAGGACGGACAGGACTGTGACAGGGAGAGTAGAGTAAAGGGCATTCCTACATGAAGAATAGCACACTCCCAGGGCCAGAAGCAAATGGAACAGAACTTGTTCAGGTCATGATAGGCGGTCTAATTTCACTAAGATCTTGAAAGAGAACAGTTATTTTTAAAAAATGGAGTCAGGTGGTATAAAGCCTTGAATGGAAAGATGAAGTTTTTTGTTTTGTTTTGTTTTTTGGTAGGCAACGGAGATTAAGGAAGATTTTTGAACAGAAGGATGATATAATTAAAATACTGCTTTAGGAACATTATTTCCCCTCACCCCCACATAATTGAAAATTTTTAGGACAAAACCATATAATAAAGTACTAAAGAATAAAATTCAAAATAGAGCAAAGGAAAAATGATGGAAGAAAAGCTAAAGTCAGAATGATGCTAGTAACTATCAGAGTTTCATTAGTTGGAAGTGGTAGGCAGGGTAGACTGGAGAAGAATCAAGACAATTAGAAGACTACTGCAATAATCAAGGCTTGATGAAACAAGAACAATGATAACAGAAAAGAAGGGATGAATTAAACAGGCACTCTGGTAAAGGAATTGACTGAATGCTATGACTAAAAAGGCAAAAAAGAAGGCGAGCCTACGGTGGCTCTCATTGCTCCTTTTCAGCTACAGTCCCCTCCAGCCACCTTTGGTGTTCACAGCTATTAGTGGCATACTTTTAGCACTTTTTGTTGAATTGACTTATTATTTTTTGCTCCACTTTTGGCTTAGTAATTAAAGTTGCAATTGTTTTGGCACCTCCAAATCTGTACCCTTGAATTTTCCAATGCCCTTGTTTTTGCCTGTATTTTTTGCCTTATTTCCTGTTGATTTTCAATTTGGAAAGAAGGCTATAGGGCAGCCCCTATATTGAAGATTCAAAATTTCAAACTAGACCCCAAATTTTATCACTCCATGTCTGCGATAGATTGGGTTTTCTTGCAGAAACCTGTTTATATTCAATTTCATTCATGAGTCTGGGAACTATCTTCTTCCCTGTGACAGGGAGACCAAGCAACAATAAGCATCAATGCCTAGCTAGCTGAAGCTAGAAGTTTTCATGAGACAGCAGGACTCAGCAAGGAGCAAGGCTTAAACCTAAGGCAATAGGGCCAGGTTAGAAATGGAAGAAGTTGCTTCCCAGATTTATCCTTATGGAGCTCAAGGGAAGGCCCAAGTTATCTAGATTTCAATCTTGTCTTTTTTATGTTCTATTCGGAGATCACTCTAAAATTCTCCTTCCTTAATTCCCTTATAAAATTGTTATGACACTACAATTTTAGTAATGTAAAGAAACCAACATTTAAACAAATATTCTCACAATGTAAATAATAATTTCAAGTTTTAAACTTTTAGTCTTTTTGTGACATAAAGCACATTTCAATAATAAGAAATTACAAGATAAGATTTCCTAACAATGTTTAGCAATAGATTTTTTACTTAAACAATCAATGAATGATGCATGATGTGGAAATCCACGCACTTAAAACACATATGCACACATTCATACACACACAGCATCATCCACATTGCACCACACACTCTAGAAGTATCATAGAGACCAGCACTACCTTTCACAGGTGAAGGTGGACTCAGATGTAGTACCAGATTCTCTGACCACAACCTTTTCACAATACCAGTACTGTGATTTGTCACTGGCCTCGCAGCGCAACAGCACCTTCTGCAGTTTTCCAAGCGACACTGCTTCTACTTGAAATGTATCAATCTGGGGCAGGAGACAGAGAAAAACCCCACAGAAATAACTTGAGTCCAGCACATGACAAATACAGGCAATCATAATAGCCCAAGGACTACCAGAAGCAGCACAATACTTTAAAACAGATAATGTTACTACAATTAGCATCAAAAAGTATAATAAGGAAAGAAAAATAAGCAAATTATTTTTTTATCTATTAAAAATATATTTCTGGCTGTGTTTCTTCCTCTCTTGCAGTTTTATTTTCTCCACTGGAGTAGTATTCAGTGTAACAAATAAAAAACCCTAATACAAAGGCTTCCAGTTTGTGGTTTTTCTCTTGCTTAGATTCCTGCCCCTGTGATGCAGTTTATTAGGTGGTTGGTTGACAACCGTGTGGCCTAATACGCAGCACACTTAGTTTCCATGAATGCTGATATAGTTTAAGGCATATAGGAACAAATTTTCTCTTTCTCTCTCTCCTTCTCTCCTACTCTCCTTCCTCCCTCCCTCCCTCTCTCCCTTCCTTCCGTTGTTTCTTCAATAAACTCTCTCCTATACCTTCCTCTGTAAATAACATAGAGCACTCTTGGGTTTGTTGTGAAAGAGCATCCTAGAATCTTCATTTCTAAAGAGTCACTTTGTCATGTCAAAAACTCACTGACATTTCCCAAGAGATGTAGGACCGAAAGATAACGCTATACTGGTTGGAATAAAAAGAATTCCTTCATACATTACCTCCTCATAGATTGTTGTTGAGAATAACCACCCCAAAATCATCTGAGGAAAGCATCATAAATTTGATTAAGTCTGAGACATTCCCAGAAATGACAGTTGACTATTAGCCACTGTTACCCTACTTTGCCATAAAAATGCAAATCCAGTATTGTTTGTATTTCCCATATGGGATAGGTTGTCTTAATGGCTGACTACATTGTTACCAGGTTAAACTTCAGTTTGACATTTGGTACCTGTGTGACAACTGTTGGTTCCACTTTGTGGATAGAAATCTTCTCTTGTTTAGACAAAACCGAAATCATCAGTAATCCAATGATGATATTTCTGTAAACCAGCTTATGATTGCGCATGTTCTCAGGAGTGCCTGGTTAGTCTCATTGTCACTATCTTGCATTCCCAGTGTGACTTTACACGGGACATTTCATGATACACATCACCCCCTGTCCTCCAGCTCCATTTCTGAGTATATGTGCTGCTTTGGTAGATAGTTTAGGCATGCTAACAGCTTTCTTTCTCAGTCCTCTCTGTCTCACTGCTTCTTTGCCTGAGGGCTTCCCCTTGTGGGACAGTTTTGAGGGGTGTTCTGAAGGTCTCTAGCAAGAAGGAGTCCCACTAGTAACCAGCTCATTAATGTCACAATATTGGCTTTTCTCCCTTTGCTGCCTCACTTTCCCCTCTCCTTCACTTCAAAGGAACTCACTGGGATCACCTCCCAGATAAATTTCCTGTACCCTAGTCTTTGTCTTATGGTTTGCTTTGGAGCAAATCTAAACTACGATACTTCAAGGTCCAGAACGATTGCCTGGATCAGCTTTCCGATTTCTTCTTGTTTCTTAAAGTAACTTTAGTTTTGAAGATAGAATTAAACTAGGTCTATTATGTATGTTGCTGCCTTTTGATTACACCTCTGGACACTTTGTAGAGAAAATAACAACAACCAGCCCAATCAGTGGCTAATGATGTGAGTTGCGGCTGCTGTGAAATCATTCTGTAATAAAATAAAAAGATTGTTCCCACAATTTCTCAACTGCAAACTCTTGAAATCATTCAGCATTTCCATTACATTCTATGCATTGAGGAAGATAACAGAAAAATGTGAAATCTAAAATAAACCAAGGAACAGAGACACTTTTATATCTCTGATTCTAAACTTCAAAACATACCACCAAACCCATATTTTTACTCTTATTTATACACTGATTGCAATTATACTTCCTATTCAATTTTAATTTCAATCTATAATACATCCTCCCCACTCTCTGGTAAACGCTATACACAGTGATGAACTGAAGAATATTAATCATGAAGATGACTTGCAAAATCTTAGCCTGTAACATCACATGATGTTGCACACTGGCAGACCAACTAGCAGGAGGCCAGGAGAGATGGAGCCTTTACCACATATCACAAAGTGGTAAGGTGAAGGAGTCTAGGACTGATGGAAACCTACGTAGATTCTTTAAAGGATAACTTCACTGATCACTTGGATAATATTAAGAATAATATCATAGTATCCTAAAGTTTGTTTTTGTTCAAAATTAATAATTCACTGTGGCAGGAAAAATTAGGCCTAATTTTGTTTTTTCTCTCATCCAAAGCAGATCTAGCTTTCCTATTCACTGTGATGAAAACTTCTGTGTAATCTACAGTGACCAAAAAAAGGCTTAGGTGAGATTTAAGAGCTCTGATGTTTCAAAGTATTTCATGATCTACAACTACAGAAAAATTTAAGAAATAGCACTCTCAAACTGGTTTGGGAGTCTTCTTTTTTAAAAGTATATCCATGGGTTACATAATCTCTATTCTTAATTTCAGACCCCCAAATGGTACTTTCCATATACAAAATAACATTAAAAATTAACTGGGTTGATTATATATCTCACTGTAACTCCTCAAACATCTAATATATAGAAAGAGTCATGCCTACATGTAAAGGACAAAAGGGAACAGTGAAGGGACTTAAGGTGTGAAAATAATACAGTTGGCTCCATTCAAGATGTTTTAAAGAAAGGTTACTGTGTTATTATGTGAGGTACACTATAATGGCCTTTCTATGACCTCTCCTTTTAAAACAGTAATGCTTTGTACCTTTCAGTCCCAACAGAGCATATTCATATATATTTTTCCCTGATATCATTTCAACTCATTTTTTTCTTTTTCTTACACTATCACTAATTTTTAATGACTTTTTCTTTGTTTTATTATTCATTGCTAGTATAGTGTGCCCCATTTTTCTGTCAAGAACAACTTCTAAAACCAAGCACATTAGGAAGTCAGGTCAGGAAAACTTGTGTTAAAAACAACCTAAAAGGAACACTTGAAGGGTGTCAAGCACTTTTCAATTTTCAATCATACATGGTCACCTTCAGAGAGTTTGCTAAGAACGTGGCAAAGTTGTTTGTGCAGCCTCACCTGTCCTCTTTGAAATTTTACGGGCATGTTAGATTTGTACAGCAGTCTAAGACCAGAGTCTCCCCTCTCCCCAAAGAGACATAGGGAAACATCAGACTCCGTTTCTGCTTGCTTCAATTGTCCAGTATGAACATCAACATGGTATCTCACTACTAGCAAAGCAAAGGGGAGAGAAACAAGAGGAAAGCTATTACCTGGGAATTCATACAAATAGAATCCAGACCCATGGGTCAGGCTACAGTAAAAAACATTACATGAGAATTCCTCTAACCTAGACTGTCTGTATCTACTGAGGGATTTTTGATCTTTCAATTACTAATTTTAGTTATAAATGGGCATTTTTACACCATGAACAATTTCCCTGAGGGTTAGAGCTTTTTCAGAAAGAGAAATAAAGATTTTTCAAAAAGGAGGAGATTACACAGGAGATTTTTTATGCTTCTGTGTATGACATAGGAGGATATTTCATGCTTAGTATTTTAGTGGCAAGGGTGACAAAGCTATTGTACAAGATGCTTAAAGTTTAAAAAGATATAAGGTTTGATGAGGAAATATATCAAAATTGAAATGATGACATGAGATGGCCGACTGGCCTCAGGCTAAGCCAGATGAGGCATAGACATGACATTTTCTCTTTCTCATAGCCTCAGCCCCTGTGACTGTAGCTGAACTAAAGGAATCTTTTTGAGATTATGTTTAATCCCAGATCTACCAATGACTCATGCTATGAAGCTGAAAAAGTCACTTCTCAATGGGTAAACAATTTTCTCAGAAGTAAAAAAAAAATTCTGTAACTAAATAGTTCAGAAGCAAATTTAAGCAACTATAAAACAATTTGGATATGTAATATATCCTACGGAAGATTAATAACACACATGGAAAAATAGCTTGCCCTCCTTCTACTACAGGAAGCTCACAGACAAGGTCCCCATCTCCTTGGATTCGAGATAACCACACATTTACTGGAAAATCTAGGGTCTTCTTGCTCTTTATATGTTGCATGGTGACCTGAGATTAAAAGAAACAATGATCAAATTGGCGATTTTTCAATTCCTCATAGAACTCAGAATTCAAAATGCACCCCAGGGACTGCTATAACGTACTGCACACTCTGATGGTTGTTGTTATCAGTAGTATAGTAGTAATGGCTGTTGCTTATTAGGTAATTATTATTTGCCAACTATTAATGTTAAGTGACTTATTTTAATTATCTCTTTTAACTTTTACCAATTAGATTGGTAAAATCCTTATAATTTATAGATAAGAAAACGGAGGCTTGGAGATTTGAAGTGGACTCTGTCTGATTCAAAACTCTCAATTTCACCTACAGCAGTTGCTAAAAAAGCAATCTATAGGAGGAACTAAAAAAGAGATTTTGTGTTCATATTAATGACCAAAGCAGGCATACAGCAGAATTTTTTAAATTTTAAATGCCTTTTACATATATTTACAATATCTTTAGGTTGTGGAATAGTCCTCAGTTCTACAGCCAATGTGCCTGCACTTCTCAGCACACGGTAAGTTGCCTTTGCCTCTCTGCCCAATGAACCCTTAACAGACCCTTCATTAGCTCCTGATCCTTTCGTAGGTCTTTCACAAGAAGGCTCCCTTTCCTTTGTCTTCTGTTTCACATCCCAGCAGAGGACTTCCAGAAGGAATTTCACAATTGCCTGCCTTTCCTTCAACCACAATGGATGAAGTGCCCTCTCCTTTTAAGATACTGGATCATCTTCTAAATTAGTCTCTGGTCCTCTTTAACTTCCTCTTCTTCCTGCTTTAGGAGCAGGTCCCATCATTTCTCAGGTGGCTTCGTCTCAGAACTAACTGCCATAAGGCACTGACTGCTATTCTTGCTCCCCTCGAAGCCGGCTTTTAGGCTAGCAAGAGAAATTATTCCAAATCAGAAATCAGATCATTTTGTACACTACTCACAACTTTTTCAATAGTCCTACCTATAGCATAAGATCCAAAATCCTCAAGACATTGAGCAGTTCATAATCAGGCCCTACCTACTTTGATAGATACTTCCTCACATTCTATATTCCAGTCATACTGACCTGTTTATGGTTCCACAACTCGGCCACATTCCTTCTCACCTCAGTTTTCACACACACTTGTATCTCTGCCTAAAACAGCTTCCATCTGACTCATTACTATTGCTGAATCTCCCATCCTTCGTTACGTACCTCATACACAACCTCTTCTAAGAAGCCTTTTGTGAGTCTCCAATCTGGACTAGGCAAACCTACTTTGTGAGCCATGGCACCCTATCCAATTATGACTTTGACTCAACACCTAATATTCGACTGATTTCATGGAAGGGACCTTGTTCTCCTTGTCCTACTCATCTTGGTACTTCCATAAGCTTTCACAAGGCAGTCCTTAGGTTGTTTGTTGAATGAATGATTACATAACTAAATGAAATGGCTATCTGTCAACACAGGTAATTAAACTAAATCAGTACACCTGCTCACTAATGCCTGATTGTGTCTTTACTTGCTCCAGGCAAGACACAAGGAAAAGAGCATTGGATTTGGAGTCAGAAAAACTAGGACCAAAATCTAGATCTATCATTTTACAACTGTTTTACCATGAGAAGTTCACATAACCACTGTGAGTATCAGTTTTTTTGTCCTTAAATTAGGAATGATGCCTATCTCACATGGTTGCTGTGGAGATTAGATGAGACTATATGTAAGAAATGTGCAAAACTTTATATAAATTGCATAAACAACTCCTATTAACTTATCCAAATTTATATATGAATATATTCATAAATATAAAAGAGATTAATATAATATATTCTACTAAATTTGAAAATGTCCCTTTCTCTGGACTATAACATGCTTTATTTTTATAGCAATTAGATGGAAACTTTAGGAATACTAAGAGATAGAGACTGATTATAAAGATTCATAAGCTTTTTAATCCCGAGCAGATACAATTCTCAAATAAAATTATTTTCAGCCCTCTGCCCAAAGTTTTGAAACCCTAGTTGCCCAATGGTCCTGAAACTCAGTGCTGGGGTTGCTTACTTGGCAATTGGAGAGACGGAAGTGGTGGTAGAATGAAAGAAGGGTGATGCACATTCTACAGTTGAGGCTCTATATTATGGACTATCTTGTTAAAGTTTCAGCAGTGAGAGAAGGAGTTTAATCTTTTTATTTCCATTCCTGGAGCCCATTATGAGTCTGTTATTTTCCTTTACTTGGGACACAAGGAGATAAGTTACACCCTAAACTATATAGAGGGGCATACTCCTCAAAAGAGCAAGTAAAAAGAATTCTTAAACAAAAAGAGCTAACCAAGGGTGAAGGGGAGTTTCCATCTTTCTGAAACGCTGCATGCAGATGACCCCGAGAAGTGGCATACAGACCCTTGGCCCCCTTGCAGTGACATTTCTTACAGTGGATGTTCAAGCACTGCACTGGGTATGATTGAGAGTTTAACAAAAAGAAATTGCCTCTACCATCAAGGAGATTTTACAAACTGTCTGTGAAAGATAGACTTAAAATATTTAAATAACACAAGACTATATTACAGCAGCATATTAGTAAACACATTAATACAGACTAAGTTCCGTGGCGATTCAGGATAATGCAAAGTTTAGGATACAATAAGACTAATTTCAGATGGAACTTAGTAGATGTTTCAGATAAATAAGGGTCATAAACAGGTGAATGGGAGTCTTCTAGATTCTAGACTTGAAGCCTTTCCCATGAAGCATAAGGTTTTTACAAAGTCATTCTACCTAAAACTCTGAGAGGTCCTTCCTCTACACTAAACTCTCTATGAAAATTGGCAAGAAGCCTCTGGTTTCTGAGGCACCACCATCCCTCATGCTTAGAAGTACCCACTGATGAGAAAATCTTCATCATTTTACTTGAGTGCAATCCTACTAACTCAACTGTAAAGCTTTCTGGGTGAGAGCTCTGAATGAATTCCATTTACCTTCAAAGCCATGATGCCTCAAAATAAAAAACCAATAAATCAAAGTGAATTTGTGTGTTCATTTGTTTTTTAATCAATAAAGAGACATAGCAGTGGTTCTCAACTGGGTGGGATTTTGCCCCCAAGAGACATGTGGCATTTTTGGTTGTCACAATTGAGGAGGAAGGAGAGGGTGCTACTGGTATCTAGTGGGTAGAGGCCAGGGATCTTGTTAAACATTCTACAGTGCACAAGACAGACTGTCCCCCCCGCCCGACAACAAAGAATTATCCAGCCCCAAATGTCAATAGCGCTAAGGTTGAAAAATCTTGGGAGCACAACCAGAAGGACCTGCAACTAGAATACACAACTCTGTACTTGGGGGGCTTTGGGGAGAAGAAGAAGAAAAAAAGAAGATTGGCAACAGATATTAGCTCAGGTGCCAATCTTTAAAAAACACACAAAGAGGAAAAAAGAAAAATCTTGGTGTACAAAGATAAATAGTTAGATAATAGATAACTCGATAATTAAATAGAATGATACAGACAGATAAAGAGAGAGACATACATCCATAGATCTTATCTCCAGTTGTGTTTATTTCTGTTTTTATTTTCACAATTTTTTTTTCAATTATTAAAGTAATAAAGGAGGTTAAGTCCTGGAAGACCACAATGCATAAGCCCACTCATACAGTAGCTAACGGCAGGACTCAATGAAGGAGAGGTGGCAAGTGGAACAAACCTGGACTTGGATCAAAAGACTTTGATTTATGTTCTAACCTGCCATTTACTAGGTGTATGGCCTTGGGTAAAAGTTTTACATGATGACCTGTGATCTTCAGGTCCTCATTTGCAAAACTGGCATCATACCTGTTTGCTAGGTTGAAGATTTAATGTGTTAGAGTAGGAGTGTTTTACGTAATAAAATAATATTAAAGCACCTTATAGAAAAGAGAAATAGGAAGTTATTTCCCAAAGTAAAACTTTCTCAAGTATGGGTTGCAATATCCAGGAATATTAAAACAGAGATTCATTCTAGAACATCTGTTTTCCCCAGTTGGCAGTAAGATGGTGGTGCATGTGCCTAAGAGTCAGATCGCTTCAAATCCATGTGCTACCTGTGTGATATTGGGAACTGTTTATCGTCAATTCAAAAACCTCAATATCTTGGACTGGAATAATATTTTCTACTTTGTTGTGGCATAAACAATTAAAAGCGATGATCTATACCCTGAGTGCTCAAAGAATGTATATTGGTGGTGGTGGTAGTAGTAGTAATAGTAGTAGTATCACAATTAATCACAGAAATCAGAGATCAGAATTCTTAACTGTTTTTTGGGATTGTTTGTGGTTCCTTACTCTCCAACATCCTCCTAGAGACTGCACAAGGAAAAGATCAGCTAAATGCTCACTTCTTTATTATCAGAAAGAGAAATTCTTGTCTAAATCCCTGACTCCTACTCTACTTGGATGAGCTGACCAGGAGTATTTGGAAAGACAGATAAAGGCCTCCTTGGCTCTCTCCCACTAAGCCAATCTGAAGTAGCCTCTCCTGCTTCCTTTCTTCTGGGTCCCATCCTGAACTTTCTAGCTCATCAGTTAAGAGGTTTATATCCAAATCTATCCTTTAATGCCTCTCTTTCACTCATCTAATCTTCCTGACAAAGCTCTCTGGTACTTCTAGTCTCTAGATTCCTACTTGTACAATCATTGCATGCTTCCTCTTAGGTGGTTCCCATTCTGACCCTTTGTAACATCAGGTAGGAACACACAAGAAAAAGGATGTCCATTTCTCTAAACTGCAAGGACTGGCACTGCCCTAACTCCTCTCCAGGGTTTACCTCTTCTGCTAATGTCCCACCTATTTAGCCCTTCGGAGATGGCCCTGTAGTCCTTTCCCCACCTGTCCTTAGTGCCTATCTCTAATGCCAACCAGGACACCCAATGGAGTAAGGATCAAGTCCAGGTGGGGTGGAGGGAGGGCCAGCAGTGTTGCTGGAGCACACCAGATCATGAGTGCAGAGTAAGCCAGCTGCCCTCCTTGCTGGCCCAAGCTCCATCTTTCTTTCCTGCCTATTAGGACTGAGACTAAATACAATTAATGACCAACAGTAATTACCACCACCTATATTTATATTCTACTTTGTTTTATGAAAAACTCTCTGCATATGTTATTTAATCCTAAATTTAATCTTATCTTTTCTTGGAGGAGAAATGATATACAATCAAAGTCAACACTTTCTGAGAACTAAATTTGTGTCTAATTGTCTGCTGGACACTGGATATAAAATAAAGAATGTACTAGGATGAGAAAAGTTGAGAAAAATGATTTTAAAAAACCCTACTCTGAAATATAAACTTTTGTTCAAAAGAACAAAAAAATGTGTAATACTTCTACTCTTATTATATGTATTCAATTTAGATAACATTTCTTAAAAAAAAAATAAAGACAAATAATCACCAACACATTTGTTGGGCACTTAGAGTGTTTACAGTATTTTACTAGACCTGGTACTGGGGATCGGGGAGCAAGTACTAATGTCAGTCATTAGTATTTTCTTTTTGGAGTTGGAAATTTGGAAATATGAAAACAGAATAAGGTTTAAATGTGTTCTCAGAAAACACTCTAAGCATTCTTGCAAATCACATACAAAGTCAAAACTTGCCTCTAGGTTTTCTTAGTTCTGGTACCATTCCTTGATAACACCCTATTTGTCACAAGGACTATACAAGGAGGATCATCTACGGAATTTACAATTGACTGAGGGACTATCAAATGCATGAATTTATCTTTGGTTCAAATAAGCTGGCACAACTTTTAGGATGTTTCTATAAACTGCTGGAGTCTTCCGAGATTAAACATTTGACTGGAGATTTCGTGAGAAGAGGAAGCTAGTGCTTCCTGCTGTTCACTGAACTAGAAAATCCTCAAAAACAACTATTTTTCTTACTGTGTTTCAGAACTTGCTCTTCCTCTTCTGCGGTTTTTTCTAGAACCCAGAAGTGAAGAAGTAACTAAAAATGAAAAGGAACTGGAAATATTTACAAGGCACTTTAAAACTTAAATAAATAAAGCCACTTCTTGCCTAGTTTAGCTAATCTCAAGTATTCCTGGAGGTCATATCAAGTAGGTTATCATATCATATCAAGAAGTGGTAGCCTAAACATAATAACAAATGTGCCATAAGCTATGACTCACTTCAATTCCAAGGCTCAGAAGAATCAAATTTCAAGAGAGTTCCTATTCTAGTGAGTCAATTTATCCAAGTCACGTGTGGCGCATACGGCAGAGGCAGCCCAGACACGGGAGAGAGCGGTGGCCCAAGAGGTGGGAGTAGGGGCTCTGGCTACTAACTCTGCAGGGACGCAGCCAAGCCTCCGAAACTCTCCAGGCTTTGTTCCTTCACCTGCCCCTCACACACGCTGAGCCTCAGCCATACGAGATTATATCCCATTCCCTAAACACCAAGCAAGATTTGACTGTATGATTTATTTTCATTTTGCACTTACAATTTGCAAAGTATTTCACATGTATTATAAACATTTGTTTTATTAATTCATTCACTCCACAAATATTTATCCAATATCTACTACATGGTAGGTACTATTCTAGGAGTTGGGGTTATAACACTGAATAACACAAAGTTCCTGTTCTCATATTGCTCAGTTTCTAGTACACAGAGAGTAAACAAACAAATTAAAAAATATCAGGTAAGTGATGTGCTATATAAAACAAAACAAAACAAAACAGGCTGATGTGATCGAGAGCAACTGGGGGCTCACTTTAGATTGTGGCAAAGGCCACTCTGAGGCAAGAGAAGTCCAGTGTGGCTTAAGTACAATGAGCAAGGGCGGAGTGGTTTGAAAAGAGGTCACAGAGGTAGGTAGGGGACAGATTAAACATGGGGTAGATGTGATCTGATTGATGTTTTTAAAGGATCACTCTGGCTCCTCTTTTGAGACTAGATATTAGGGGAAAAAGAGAAGAAGATAGAAGGCTATTTTAGCAGATTTTGCAGTAAACAGGAGAGAAAATATGGCAGCATGGACTAAAGTGATGGTAATCAGATGGAGAAAAATAGACAAACTCAACAGAGCAACAGAGACGATTTTTGAGGGGTTAGATTTTGAAGGCTAAGGAAACGAAACAATCCAGAAAAATCTGCAGAGTTCTGGCTTACATAACTAGGGGGATGGTGACACCAACTACTCAGACGAGTAAGACTGAGGAAGAAGCAGGTTCAGTGAGGGAAGGAAGAGCTCTGATTAAGCCTTATTTAACGTTTTCACTAGACAGTCACAGTTTGTGAGATAGTCAGGGCAAGTATTGCTGAGCCCTATTTTACAGTAGGGAAAACAGAAAAAAGTGATTAAATGACTTTTTAGAAACCAAACATCTTTCAAGTCTTTTTTTCTTGTTATTTTTAAAATAAATTTGAAATTACTTTAAACAAAAAGTAAAAAAAAAAAAGCTGTAGGAAAAGTTCCTTATTTCACATTATTTTGGTCGTTTAATTATAGTTCTAATTGCTCAATTCATTTGTTGAGTTAACTAATTCATGTTCTACCTACTTTGCTCTTCACAGAAACCTTTACCACCAACCAGAGGATGGAAGACGCCTCTCTTGGTTCTGAGACAAAGCACTCCCTCCTCTGAGTGCCTCTGCTTGGGGTTGTTTTCCCATCCTGTTGAAGAATCACTGCACAGTGATATTGCTATGCCCCTGACCACTCTTCTCACTCAAAGGCTCCAGAGAAAGCACAGGCCATGCTAGTGACTACAGGCCAACTTAGCTCAGGGGTAGATCTTTCCTGAAATGTTGACTTGTCTTTCCCAGTAATTCAGAAATACAGAATTTGTAATTTTGCTAATCATTGCAGTTTCCATCGGTTTTGTTTCTTCTTCTTAAAAGGTCACTTTTTTGTCTCTCTTCTGAAATCTTTCAATACTTCTGAACAGAAAAACTTTAAAGCCAACATATGGTTTCCTCCCATTCTCAGTCACATTTAGCACAATGCAGGACACGTATTAGGTGCCCAGAAAATACTTCTTGCCTAGCTGACTACAACAAATTTACCTGCTCTTGTACTATAAAAATGCCAGTTTTCATTATATTAGTTATGTGCTAAGAAATGCTGCAATAAACCTTTCAGTAAATTTAATATTTTCTCCATTATTTTCATTATACAATGAAAGATACAATAATGAAAATCACAGATAAGATTTAAAAGAATTTTAAATGGGAAAATGATAAATTTTCTAGATTCTATCAGTGGTACTCAAAATCTTAAACCTCAAACATTTTAAAATAACATATCATGTACTATAAAGAAATCAGTGACAGTATTTAAAGCTAGAAAGCAGAGATGTTCTAGTGATTCAAACCATGTCATCTGACTCCACAATAATTACTGCCTCCACACAGAAATCTCATGGCTTCTGAGAATTTAATTGACATATATTTTTGAAAACAAACGTAAGGCTCAATGATAGTGTTTAAGATCTCAGTCCTTGGAGTCCAGCATACAATAAGACAATTTACTAAGTAACCACATCCAATCATTTAATTTTATTGAACCTCAGTTTTCTCATCTATAAAATAAGGATATCAGTGGTAGCTAAATCAAAGAGTTGCTGTTAAGCAACAGAAATATGATAGTATTTCCAAGGCAGTTGGTATACGGTAAGCACTCAGCAAACACTTATTATTATTGTTTTTATTGCTATGATTAAGTCGGGGAAAAAAAGGACAGGATCCCAAAGTGCATACATAACATGATTCAATTTTATTAAAAGGGCAAAATATAAATATATAAAATGGCAAAATGTATATAAAATATATACATTTATATATTTACGTGTGTCTATGTAGATAGAGTGAGGAAGTTCATGAGAGAGATTCATAGAAAAAAGATTTGAAAGAAATGAACCACCCCACTGGTCATCTAATGATTAACGAATAACAACTCATTTTTATTCTTATACTTTACTATATTCTTCAGATCTTCTTCCATGAACACAGATCGCCTTTGTAAATATAACTATAAAAATGCTATTTTAAAAAATCTCACAGGGAGGAACCATATTTCTTTACAGTGTTATAGCCACAAAAATTTTGTTCACATTATTTACAACAATTAGGAAAATATGTTATCTTTCTCATTGCTTTAAGAAGGCTGCTTATTTCTTTTAATAACAATAACTGTGAAGCACAAAATAAAAAACATTACCCTCTGTAAGTTCCACTCAGGTTGCTCGCTAGTTCCATCATGTCCAATCCTTATCTTATATATTATTCCAATGTTCCTTATTTCAATCTGGATGAAATGCAAAGAAGAAAAAATTAGCAGAATGTTTTTAATTAAGCACATTAAAAAATTCTTTCTCATATGATTTCGGTCGTATGTGGAAGATAAAGAAACACACACATAGATAAGGAAAACAGATTAGTGCTTACCAGAGGGGAAGGAGGGGGAGAGTGAAAGAGGTAAAGGGGCATATAGGTATGGTGATGGATAAAAACTAGACTACTGGTGATAAATGCAATGCAGACTATACAGAAGCTGAAATATAATGATGTACACCTGAAATTTACATAATATTATAAACCAACGTGCTCTCGATAAAATAATCAAAATGCAAAAATCATTCTTTCTCTTCTTCTTACTAAATGCATTTTTTTACTCCTAAGAGTTGAAAAACTCTCAGCGACCCTTTCAGAGTCTGGAGATTAAGCCCTCTCAAGAAGCTATCAGTGGACTACACAGACACAGAATATGAAACAGAAATATCATGAGACGACTAAAAATATGCAGAAGGAGTCAGATGAAAGAATAGGATAAGGAACATACATATGCTCAGTTCTCTGACTAGCACACATTTCTCACTGTAAGCCAATGTCTTCTGAGCTGAGTTCCAATGACAGAAAGATGGGCTCTTATTTTAAGAAGAAAAAAAAGCAATTTTCATCAAAGCTAAATATAGCTATTCTATAAGCTTAAGGAAAAAGTACCAGTGAGTCTAGAACTTCCTTTTACTCTGAAAATCCTCTTTTGTTTGACTATAGGATAAGATATAGATTTTCAAAGTTCAAGGAAGAGAAATAAATCTGCCTACAGAATACGTATACTTGGTTAGTTTTTGACATGGTTCAAGAATATTTATTAATCCAAGTAGCATTGTGGGGAATCGGCTTTGGAATCACTTTGAGCTCAACTGCTATCCAGGCTGTTGTAATCTGAGTAAAATATGGTGTTTTATATCTCTGGCCCTCGATTTCTTTATCTGTTGAATGGACATAATGTCTCTTGCATACAATTTTCAGTTCAACTAAATAAATGTTTATTTAACACAATAATATAGACATTGTGCAAGTCCACAAGTATACAAAGATGAAAGTGATGGCACAGTCCCTAAGTTAGAGAAATTTATAATCTAATGAGGGAGACAGATTTACAAACAGACATTTTTAGTATAATAAGATATGTCCAGGACACTAAACTGTGAGGATTAAAAAAGGCAATACACTATATCATTTAATAGTTTAAATATAGTCATTATCATTATTTCTACTACAGATACTCATCTACTTCCACAAACTAGATATGAATAGGTAGGCACTTTCATATTATGTTGACTTACGTCATTGCCTACCAATGAACAAGACCCTGAAACAGCTGGACAGTCAGATGACCAACAAGCCATCAAAATAATTCCTCTTTCATATTCACTTTCCATAATCAGAAATTCACTTTTTTAACTTCCCATCATCACCAAAACCACTTTCCCCCATAGACTGCAGTGGCTAGACCAGTCCTGGGCTATTACAACACCCAGTCAAAGACTATGATGCTATTGACTAGGAGGAAGGAAAAGAGGACTGTTAATCCCTCAGAGCCAACTTCCACCAACTTTCTTACTCCAAGAGCTGCTGTCAGTGGCAGAACTTAGAAGCTAGCTCTTCTCACCAGAGGAAGTAAGAAGTTATCCCATAGTCTGGCCTTGGTTTTTCTCTGAAAGGTAAGCCAATCTTTAGATATCCTTTCATTGTCCCAAGAATCTATTAGCACTTAAGTGTAAACTTTCTCTTTCTACACATTCTAAATGAAAAAAATAAAGGGCTAACTGAACGGTCATGTTACCAAACATATGTGACTTCATGGCTGCCTACTTGCTACTTTTGGAGAAGGGAACTACCATGCAATGAGCTCAGCTATGTGCCAGCCAAGGGGCAAGCGCTTGACAAGCATGGTCTCTTCCAGTCTGTACAGCAGCCCCATGAAGAGCAGGGCTCTTTAAAAAGCCGACTTTAAGGAACAAAGAAATTTAAAAACACTTAAGTAATTTGTCTAGGGATACACAGCTGGAAACACAGTAAGTTCCAAAAGTAAAATTCAAACCAAAGCCTGTTTGATCAGAAATAGCACACTGTCCTCAAAAATGACTATGTGCTCACTTCAGGATTGGAAGGAAGGAAAAGTAAATGAAAGATTAATTTAGAAGTGGCAAATGATACCAGTGAAAAAGAACAAAGACGTCAATGCCCATAGAAGACAGTGAATAGGAATGAGCTGGCCAGTCCTCATTTAGGGTTCTCAGACTGTCAAGAGGCCCCAGTCCTATTGTCCCTTAAACCCCAGATCAGTGCTTCTCAAACATTAGTGTATACACAGATTACCTGGGGATCTTGTTAAAATGCAGATTCTCATTCAGTAGACATGGTGGGGGGCCTAAGATTCTGCATGTCTAACGAGTTCCCAGGTGATGCCCATGCTGCTGGCCTAGGGCCCACAGGCCCTAGACTCCTATGGGGCTTTCATACCCATCCCTGATCTCTCCCATTAAGGTAGTAGCTTAGAGCTGGGTAAGTCCCTGCTCTCACTTCACAGTAAACAGGAGAAGCTAGGAGAAAACATATGCTGATGCCACTGACCATTATCCTCCGTGACTGTAAAGATAATCTGTCATTTGTAGAATACTTTCCATCTACCAGGCACAATGCACATCACACACATTCCCAAACATACTTTAAACCTCACAACAAGCTTTCAAAGTAAGCATTAATACCCACCTCCCTGTCTTTACTAAGAAAGAAATTAAAGATTAGTGAGGATAAGCAACCTGTTCAACGTGACAGGACTAATGTAAGGTTGATCTTTGAACCTGGTCTCCATGACTCCAAGGCCTCTGTTCTTAACCAATTTATTATATTTCCCATATGTCAATAAGCTTTTCTTAATGTACATATATTTTTTCTTTTTATCATCAGACCACTCTGGAATTTAGAAAATTCCTGATGTCATTGCCTTCATTCTGTATTTAAAAACAAAAGCTGGCCTGGAGAAAATAAGTAATATATTCAAGGTCACAGAGTGAATATATGGAAAACTAGGATGCTAATCCAGCTCACTTAGTTTGCAGTTTAGCACATAATATACCGCAAGGTATATTATGGGTACTAATAGACTTTGGTGGGGTGGCCTAGGGATCTAATCATGACATATGTGTTGTGAGTTCTGAACAATCATCTTCAAATAATCTTTTGAAATGCATGGGTTGTAGAAGGTATGACTGCCTGTGCATTGAGCCAAACTGCTCCTTCATGACCTCAGACAACTGCTTTTCTTCTCTAAAATTCTAATGATTGCAAAAGTAGAAGATCTAGAAACCATCTGGGTATTAGTGATTGCCAGGTACTGCAGCCCCAAACAGCCTTGCCTTCCTGGTGACTCGAGTTGGCCTTAATCATTCTCTATTCTTTATCCAGCCTTAGGATACAAAAGGAATACTCTCCAGGGAGATCAACTGCTTTTTCACAGTGCACCAAAGAACCATGTGCTTTCACTCTGTGGGGGTGGGGTACATTAGTGAGGTATAATGTAATTGTCTTAAGTGAAATTTCTCCAAAGCCCTGAGGAAATTAGGAGAGGCAACCAGCGGTACTCAAAGTAATGCGGCCCAGCATTCTTTGATGCTAAGGAAAGGAGAGAGAGATTTGAACGGGCAAGGGGCAGAGCTTCAAAACACGGCCTCTGAGGATGTAAAAAAAAATGATTTCACACCCATACAGCTCAGCTGAGCAACATGTAACAGTATATGGAATTATACAAAAGAAGGGTTTTCATTACCAGAAGAATCGCTAAATGGCTTATTATCTGGTTACAATTTGAGTTGAGGTTGATGGTTTGTGGGGCCAGATTCAAACCAACGGCCTAAACCAAATTATCTTTAAAGAAAGCAATTTTCTTCCACAACTTTCCTGATTGGTAGAGAATATGTGAGGAAAAAAATGTTTCCTTTGACGATTACAATAGGCATTAGGATAACTTATGGGGATTCTAAGAGACCCGAGATTTATTTTATACAGGATATACACACACACAATCACACTCTCCTGTGTTACAGAAATACCTTTAAAATGTTCAAAGAACAAAATTACTGCCAATATTGTTTACCTGAAACTCATCCTCCTGTCTTGGAAGGAAGAGCTGCTCTGAGCTGTCCTTGCTAAGACTTATTGGTCCAGTGACTCCTTCATCTCCATACACCCATAGTGTGACATTGGCTTGAGTCCCTGTATTTCCTGTCAGCACTAACACCTTCCATTCATCTTCTGACAGAAGAGTCTCACTGATCTCTTCTATAGGGGAAAAAAAGGCATTAGTAGCAGATCCAATGCAACATCAGGCTGACAGAATCCTTTGTCACATGGAGCCCAAGGACATCAAAACAGAGTAGAGGATGAGTGGGGCAGGGTAGGGAGGCAGTGAACTGCTACAACTGTAGGGAGCTAATTTGTGCTTGCCTCTTCACAGCAAGGTTCTAGGCAACTGAAACTGAACTACTGAAGTAAATTAAATTAGAACAATAAAGATCTGAATTGCCTGGCAATCTTTCACTTGTCCTCAACACTACAACACAGACGCATGCTGGAATTTGTAGTTCTGTGTCCATAGATTTTTCATAAAGCTGCCTGCCTGGCTTACAGATTTTTAGGTAGAATTACTACAATACAAAGTAACAAAAGAAAAGTGGAACTAAAATACATTTTCAAATGAGGTGTAAAAATGGCAAAATTGAGAAGAGAGAAAATTTTTCTAAAACATTTCAGGAAAAAATATCCTACTGGAGAGGGCAATGAAAGCGCTTGGAGCTAAAGACAGAATTTTCCCAAATGCAAATGATTCTGAGGTGCTTAGGGCAGGTTAGTCTGTGAGGGCAGGGACTGCACAGCAGCAGTGTTGCACAAGGAAGCCTCCATCACTCAGCACTTCCCAAACAGCCCCTCCTTGCTTACAAGAGATGTTTACGAAGTGAAGTCCCCAACTAAAACTACTTTCTTCTTTATGCACTTTAGCCTGTTGCCTCATCTAAGGAGATCCGGGAGCATGCAGTGGCAAGAACATCTCCCAAGCTACTCGGCATTGGTTGTCTGGATTGCCCCAACAACTGCATGTTACAGGTACAAATATTACAGACTTGGGTAATGAGATAAATTTCCTCGTGTCAAATGATCAAAAGGAAACCAAGATTCTTCCTATCTTTAATTCTGTGACTTGAAACTATAGGCAACCGTAGACAGCACCTACAATCTTACAGTACAGTATCAACAGAGATGATGACAAACCCAGCAAATAACTAATTTTCTGCTATAATGAACAAAATTCCTTCAAAAAACTATACAAAAAAAGTTATAAATGGAAACAAATACTAAGAAATAACTGGCATTCATTTTTTTAAGGCTGCCTTCTCTTTACTGTCTTGGGTAATCTCTGTCATTATAACAGCAAGCATGTTTCCTTCAATTAACATCATGATCACCATTTACTAAGCTCCTGCTACATGCTAGGCTCTGTGTTGAATGTCTCATATGCACTTCTCATCCCACAAAGTCAGTCAAATTATGATGTCAATTTTAAGATGAAGAAAAGAGGCAGAGGTTAAATAATATGCCCAAATCATATAGCAAGTAAATGACGGAATGTCTAACTCCAAAGCCTTGCATTTAAACAAACGAGTTTAGATGTTCCACTTTCACTTAAACACAGTTCACCGGAATGCACAATTTCATTCTATGCTAAGCACTGTTCTAGGCACTTAATATTCATTATTGTGTCAACCTCACTCAGTCCTCACACTAGTCCTATGAGGTACTCTCCTTTATTACGGACAAACTGGGACTCAGAAGTTAAGTAATTTGCCCAGAGTTACACAAGCAATAGCAAAAAAGACTTAAACTTCAATCCCAGGCAGAGAAAGTTTGAGTCCCATGCTATTCTGGATACAACATCAAAGGTAGCTGACCTGGAAAATATTATAAAAATTGGTGCAAAAATTTTATGACACAATCTCATTTTCAAAACTCACATATTGTACGTGAACACTTGACTGTCCTGCCTGCCATTTCTAGTCAAGCACTATCAGGAACCTGGAAAACACACTTGGAATTTCTCCAGACCATAGACAACAGTGCAATCAGATCTCTACTGATGAAAACTCCACAGCACATCCATGAGACTCAGAGACTAATCAGTGATTTAGGTCAGTAAGATACTCTTTAGGAAGCTAATCATTTACTTAATCTCTTATGAATATCTTAGTCATCTAAAAGGATTATTTTTATTAAAGTCAAGAAAGTTTTATTTAGTTCCTATTATTTGCTAGGCACTGAGTTAGGTTCATTGCTCTCTACATATTAGTGGCACAGATTAAAAGTTTGAAAGATAAACAATGAGAGTCTCACCCTGAAGATACACACTATCTAGTGGGGAAGACAGATGTATAAATATTTGGATTTTAAACTTTCAGACACATTCATAGAGAATGAAAGAAGTACTACAAAGTTCAGATGTAGCAGAGAGCCGGGAGTGAATAACTGCGTGGAAGGGTGTGCAGGAAACACTTTATGGAGGGAACCTTGGTGCTGGATGTAGAAGGATGAATGAGAATTTTGAAGAAAGAGGAAGGGAAGGGCATTCTACATAGAGGGAACAGCATGCCCAGCATGTACAAAGGCTTGAAGTAGCAGTCATGCTGGAAGAACTGCGCATGGGAACACGTGGTTGAACATGAGACCACATGAGATGCTACGTGAGAAGAGGAGAAACAGTGAGATCACGAAAAGCACTGGGCAAGGTGGAAAGGAGTTGGCACACTCTAGTGCAGGCAAGAGGGAGCCAGCCAAGATTCCAAAGTGTGGTGGTGATATGATCTGAGCATTAGAAAGATCAGTCTGAAAGAAGATGAACTAAATTTAGCAGAGAGAGACCGAGGCAGGAAGGCCAGTAAATAAACAATGAACACGAACACTGAACTGTGAACTGAAAAGCCCCGGAATGGGGTCAGGAGGCCACCGTTACTTGGTTTTAGTTTTTTGGGGTGTCCATACACAAGTGCATTCACATGCATGCTTGATTTAATCTGCAAATCAGGTGACAATCTCTAAAGCCTTTTCTTCCTGTTCTAACATTTTCACAATAACATTTGTACAAACATAACACATTATCAGGGTGCACTCGTTACAAAATTTATGACTTAATATGGTATAATCTTTAATATAGAACAGTAGATTAAAGTTTGTGCTATCATCAATTGAATATGAATTCAACCTAATGCCATAATCTTTTGGAAATGAACCAAAGTGCATTAGTCTCAGATCCTAAATTTATCCATTTAAGAACCATAAAAGCAGCTGTTTTTTTGACTAGAGGTTTAATATATTCTAAACTGGGAAAATTAACCAAATTAATAAGGATTAACCAAGACTCCTTCAGGGTCTCTGAATAAATTCTATAGTACCTAAAATTTATTCAGATGACTTAAAAATGTTCTTTGTAGGGGTGACAGAACTCTTTAATTAAACACCAATCAGTTTGAGTCAGACAAAAGAAAAGCTAAGCTACCTTTGTGCTACTGGTCTCCTGAAGCTCTGGAGAAAGAAAAAATTACTCACACAAAAAAATAGCAAATTAGCTGATTCTAATATTTCATGGAAGGATCAAAGTTGAGGTCAACTAAAGGCATGAATCACCATCATAGAGCGTGGGCATAAAAAGACAAGTTTTGTAAACTTTTGTGTACTTTTTCAACACAGTGTTTTAGAAAGCTGATTTATACTAACTGTAGAGCAAAAACTGAAAACAAATGTCCCTTATATGTAATAGCACAGTATCAGAAAAATGGTTATTATTTAACCCTAATTTTAAAAAATGTAAAATCATCTAGAAAACATAAGAAGTTAAACATTCTCTCACTAGGTCTCCTGCAATGTAAAAATATCTATTTCTACAAAATTAACACGAATAATCCTGTTTTATTCATGGATTTATCAGTTTCTTGATGTAAGGTATGGTAGATATTTACACAAAGCACAGGAAGCACAAAGCTAGTAGGGATAGCTAACAAATAGAAAACAGGATCAAAAAATCAAAGCTATTCCAATAAGCTAGAAAGTTGGACTGATACCAAGAAGATGAAAACTAACTGGTATCAAGATAAAGGTCTGCAATTTGGTTCAAACAATCAGTTACATATTTTTCAGGGAAAAGATATTATGAATAAAATATCCTAATGATCTTAATATATACCAAGAGTGCAATAGAGATGCCTAAACATGTATTACAAGCCGAGACTATATTAACAGATGCATAGGGTCCACATTAAAGGAATACCATGAGAAGGCAGGCTCCTACTTGGAGATTCACACTTTAAAATGAATATTCATAAAGGTAAAGAATTTTGAAAACATGCATTAGGAGGCACTATTAAAACAACATATTTGAAATAGAAGAGAATATACTAAAAAGAAACACTAAGAATCCATTTTTTAGTATATTTACATACAAATATAAGAAGAATATACCAAGAAGAAATGAGAATAACTAAGAAAAAACAAGGTTTATTTTATAGAGGTGGATGTTGACTTTGTGGGTCAAAAGAATTTATAGGGGCTGGCCCCGTGGCCGAGTGGTTGGGTTCACAGGCTCCGTTGCAGGCGGCCCAGTGTTTCGTTGGTTTGAATCCCGGGAGCAGACATGGCACTGCTCATCGAGCAATGCTGAGGCGGCGTCCCACATGCCACAACTGGAGGGACCCACAACAAGGAATGTACAACTATGTACTGGGGAGCTTTGGGGAGAAAAAGGAAAAAATAAAATCTTAAAAAAAAAAAAAGAATTTATAGTGAGTAGGTTTCTGCTCAACATAGAGAGGTACTTTCAAGTGATTAGGATTGCTTGAAATGGAATGGCTTACTGCTGCATTCTTCACCTGAATTACACTACCTTCATCAGATCAAAGGTCCCTTCAAATCTTCATTCTACTGAAAATTTACACCACCTTTACATTGCAATTTACCACTAAAGCACGAGCACACACACAAACAATAAACCCGTATTTTACTGTGGATACTGGGTGCTGTTTTTTTCTTAATATTGGAAAGAAACAAACACTTAGATCCCAATTTGAAGAATAATTAACATAATCCATTACCTGGTAATTCCATTTATAAGAATTATTCTAAAAAACATACAAAATACAGATGAGTGTCAATTACAAATTACACTTGAAAAAATTTGAAAAAATAATTCCAATAGTAAGAGGATAGGTAATATGTTATGGTACATCTATACAATAGATTATTTGCAGCTATTAAATTATTTTCTAAAATTATTTAATGTTATGAAAAATACTTATGTTATCTTCTACTAACTGAAAAACGGATTTAAAAATTATATACCCCAACATAACTTATACATGTGCATACATATATTTATATATAAGTATAAATATTTAAAGTATTTTAGGAGGGTAATAAGATGATATAATTTTAATTTTTCCTTTATGCTTTGTATGTTTTACTTTTTTTTCAGAATAAACAATTTATTGTGACTGCCTTTAAGGAACACTTCAACTTGATAATGAATTTCATATTTTTTTGCCCAGGTATGTTTGGTTCTTAGTGCTGTCATCTAAAAAATTTAAAGAAAGAATATCCTATGGCTGAGACTTTGGCACTGACTAGGCCTTGCCCAGTAACACCAATGAGACACCACCACAGACAGATTAAGGACTGCTGTAGCTGTCGTACCGCACTGCTGAAGTTCCCACACACAGAGCAGCTTCATCTTGATACAGAGGTGAGACTTCAACCACCATCCTCTTGGGTCTCAGTCTTTTCATTCATAAAACTAATAGGTTACAGTGAAAATTTCTAAGGACAATTTCAGCTCAGGGTATCAAGTTATGTCTTATATTTTTATATTTGGTTTGAATGTTTTTAGATGCAATGTTTCCAAACTTAAAATTATGCAGAAGAAATTTATAATCTCAAATATTTTATATTCTCAAATATTTTAATAGTTTTCAAAATGTGAGTTTCCAGGGGCTGGCCTCGTGGTGTAGTGGTTACGTTTGTACTCCACTTTCGCAGCCTGGGGTTCACAGGTTTGGATCGCAGGTGCAGACCTACACACCGCTCATCAACCCATGCTGTGGCAGCATCCCTCATACAAAAAATAGAGGAAGATTGGCATAGATTCTAGCTCAGTGCCAATCTTCCTCAAGCAAAAAAAGGAAGATTGGCAACAGATGTTAGCTCAGGGCCAATATTTCTCACCAAAAAAAAAATTATGATTTTCTAAAGTATTTATGCATGAAATGATATGATGCCTTGGATTTGCTTTAACCCAGTGGAGGCACTATAGGGCACAATGTGAAAGACTAGAACTAAAGTAAGATTAGGCATATGTTGATAATTGTTGAAGTGGGACAATGGGTACATGGGGATTCATTATTCCGTCTCTACTGTAGTAAATGTTTGAAATTTTCCATAAATAAAAATTTACCTAAAAAAGAAAGATTCCTTCCTCAAAGCCTCCCTACTCTAATAAAACTAGTATCAAAATTCAACTTGGCCCTAAAGGAAAGCCCTGCAAATTTCATGGCATTATGACTCTATTCACTACTACAAAAGCACTATTTATTGCATATGTGGTATCATAACTTCCAAACATTTGTCAACCTTTGATATAGATGAGAAAATTTCCATATTTCTTTTTAATAAATGAGTATTTTGAATACCGAGGACAGGTTTATTTTATCTATAATATCTCATCCCCTGAACTATATACATCTTGAACTATATCCTGAAAATAGACTGACAAACATAATCTCATTCTTCAGGAGATGATGGTTGTTTTCGATATCGTTAAAATAATTAAATGTCTTCCTAAGTACTTTTTGACTAACACATATTTTAACATGAATGGCTAATGTAACCCAAATCTATCTAGCATGAGAGCTAAGTTGCAAAACCAAGAGGAAGGTCTTTCTTGTAAGAAACAACTTTTAACCACTGCAGATACTTGATAGAAGTAGAAAGAAGACAAAATATTGATAGAGGTAGAAAGAGAGTCATGATGTAATTAGTAATGAATAACAGTCTTCCAGGTATGTTCATATGTGAAGACATTTTTTTCCACCTGAAGTCATGGATGCTTACAAAAACCATTTCTATTGTAATCAGAGAAGGCAAGATTTAAACAAATCATGGGCTTTTTGTAGATGGCATTTGCACAAGAGAGCTTTGTCATTTGGATTTCCAGGATTTAAAGTGCAAAGTCTGTGTTATGTCAGTGTTTTAAATAGCTCATTAATAAATTAAGCTGAGTCTCCCTTTTCTCAGTTGTAGGCCCACTCTCCATTTCTACTGTATTGCCATTAATCATAATAAAGAAATTATGTCTTTTTACAATGAATGAATAACTTAAATTTTATTTTGTGTCTAGTGTGCCCTGGATGTTTTCTTCATCTCATTATCCATTTTTAACTTTATATTTTTGTGTGATTGTTTAATGTTTATCTGGCTCACTAGACTTCAAGAGGTAGAGACCAAATCTGTTTTGCCCATCACTGTATTTCCTTATATCTGACATTTAGTAGGCACACAATGCACATATGATGATTTATTAAATGAAAGAATGATTTGAAAAGGTCTATATTTATCACGAGGCCAAATTTTATCATTTTTGAAAATTACTTGGCTACCCAGCATCAATCCGAAACTTAAAGCTTCCAATCCTTAAAAATGTAACAAAGATATTGGATAAGGGGTTAATATCAAAAATATATAATGAACTCACACAACTCAATAACAAAAAAAATCTGATTAAAAAATGGACAGATAGAGGCCAGCCTGGTGGTGTAGTGGTTAGGTTCACTTGCTCAGCTTCAGTGACCCAGGGTTCGTGAGTTCAGAGCATAGGCATAGACATACACACCACTTGTCAAACCACTCTGTGGTAGTGTCTCACATGCAGAATGGAGGAAGATTGGCACAGATGTTAGCTCAGGGACAATCTATCTCACCAAAAAGACCCAAAAACTGGACAAAGAAATTAAATAGACATTTTCTAAAGAAGACATCCAAATGGCCAACAAGTACATGAAATGATGCTCAACAGCACTAATCATCAGGGAAATGCAAATCAAAATCAATGAGGTATCACCTCACATTTGTTAGAATGTCTATCATCAAGAAGATAGAAGATAACAAGTGTTGGTGGGGATACGGAATAAAGGGAATCCTTGTACCCTGTTGGTGAGAATGTAAATTGGTGCAGCCACTATGGAAAACAACACAGACATCCCGCAAAAAATTAAAAATAGAAGTACCATATGATTTAGCAATTCCACTTCTGGGTATACACCCAAAGGAAATGAAAACAGGATATCAAAGAGGTACATAAACTCTCATGTTTATTGCAGTGTTATTCACAATAGCCATTATATGGAAACAACCTAAATGCCCGCCACAGATGAATGGATAAAAAAGATGCGGTATATATGTACAATGGAATGTTATTCAGCCATGAGAAAGAAGGAAATCCTGCCATTTGCAACAACACAGATGGACCTTAAGAACATTATGATAAGTGAGATAAATCAAAGACAAATACTGTATTATATCACTAATACGTGGAATCTAAAAAAAGCCGAACTCATAAAAACAGAAAGCAAAATGTTGGTTATCAAGGGCTAAGAGGAGGAGGGGGTGTGAGGAGCAGGAAAGATGTTTAAGGGCACAAACTTGGAACTAGTAGATAAATAAGACCTAGAGGTCAAATGCACAGTATAGTGATTATAAACCACAATATTGTATTATAAACATCAAACTTACCATGAGACTAGATCTTAATTATTCCCATCACAAAAAAGAAATGATAATTACATGCCATGATAAAGGTGGTAGCTAATGCTACAATTGTAGTATATAAATGTATCCAATCAACATGTGGTGCACCTTAAACTTTAAAAAAATCAACACAGTAACATTTTTTAAATGTTTTTGCCAGAACAGACAAATTTTCAGAAGATATAGAGAAGATTTTTCTCTTAAGCATTTTGCTACTCATAAAAAAGTGTCTATTCCTAGAGATTTCAGCTAGCATGCTATTTTCAACCCCGTCAAATTTTACTTGAGGTGGCCATCCCAGATTTAGGTGCCATTACTTCCTGACACAAGATTTAATTCTCCTTCTGTGAAAAATTTTAAGCACATGTTTCTCATGCAGCGTGATTTGTCACACTGCTCCATGGATTCATGATATGACATGGAAATATAAAACTGGGCCTAGTCCAATGCAACAAAAATCAAAAGGCTAATTTCTCTTCCCTCTGGTTGATGAGATAGTATCATGCGGTTGTCAGCAAGAGACATTTATTTTCCATTACTATCTGAAAGAGAACAAAGTACACCCGATAACTAATTTGCAAAAGGCACTTTTTTAAAGATAACATTACAATTTATCTGTCTGTTAAGATGGGTTTAAAAAAAACGGTTCAGACAGTGGTCCACTATTTCATTTTACCCAAAGATGACTAGATTCTGAGGCACAGAATTTGTCAGATACCATTCATTTTACTTCCTAGTCAGATACAAAGGAACACATTTAAGAGCAAGAAAAATGATCAAACAGACTAGGAGAAACTCAAGAGTCAAACCTCTGAGTCCTAGAGTACTGTATTCATGCCTCAGGTTCTACATGAGAACACTGCAGGAGATTAGTTTTGTTGTTAGTTATACTTTGGCGAGAATCTGCTGTTATTCATTAAATATTTTGCAGGTGACAGTCCAATACAATGTCATAATTTAAACTATCTTCTTTTCAAGTCATGTTTTGGAATGAACATCGAAGTTGAGATAAAGAAATAAACACATTTTAAAATATATGTATTCTTTGGAATACAAAAACCAAGCATAAAAAAAGCAAGATGATAGCTTAAAAGCAAGTATGTGTGGCATAATGTAACCTGTATTATAAAAATAATTTGGTGTTCTTCCTGAGGCGGCCACAAAGAAGCAATGCAGACAAACAAACCAAAAGAAGAAAAGAAGTTGTTGCTTACTTGCAGTTGAAGAAAGTAAGGGACCTCTGGCCTCAGATTCTGGGGGTGTTTCTTGCCGTTTTTTTGACCCACGGATCTTCTCCTCTTCTTTACTGGGTGTTGCAGATATACCCGTTGGGTCTTCTCTGCCAACTGAAATTAAGATTTTAAAAGATGCCATCCTCTCAAAATCACTTGTTTCTTCTCAGAAAACTCACCATATGTTCAGTTATTCAAGTTTAAGTTTTGCTATTGTTTCCTTTTCAACGCCTAGTCAGGTAGGTTTACTCTGCCTTACGTAGTTATCAGAAAATGATTTTTATTCTTAGCAGTAGGGTGGGCGTGAATGGTACTCCTATAAAATCTATTCAGTGCTTTGTAAATCCAAGCAATAATTTAATGCCAGAGTATGAATCAAATGACTTATTCAAGATGTTTTTTATATAGATTCTAAATGGGAACTCCTTTGATAATCTGGTACTTTGCCTTCATCAAGAGGGGAAATAACTAAAACATCATTTAAACAATACTTCATGTGACTTTAACGAAATATGAGAATCAAAGAAATACACATATACCTATAAATGAAGAAAACATTAGCTATTTTTCTGCCTTTTATTTAGAAGCAAGTTGTTTTGGCGTCTTGTTCAGGAATAGATATCTCCAACCTAACTGAATAATGACTCCAACTTGACAGTATATGTTCATGATTGCCATTTGCATTTAGGATTTCAAATTTTAAGTTGTTTGTGTTTCATTCTTAAGGATTAGGCATAGTATGGCCTTTTTTTTTCTTTTTTTCTTTTGGCGAGGAAGGGTGGCCCTGAGCTAACATCTGTTGCCAATCTTCCTCTTTTTGCTAGAGGAAGATTGTCATTAAGCTAACATCTGTGCCAATCTTCCTCTATTTTGTATGTGGGTCACCACCGCAGCACGGCTTAATGAGTGGTGTGTAGGCCTACGCCCAGGATCCAAACCTGTGAACTCTGGGCCACCAAGGCGGAGTGCGTGAAGTTAACCACTACACCACTGGGTAGTACAGCCACTTTTAAATGGTTGTAATTCATCTCATGACTGTCAGATTTTAGAAACCTCATCAGCAACAAAAATTATATAGATGTCTGATTCTACATAATAATAAATAATAGCAGCTACTTCTTAATACCACAATTGCAGTCAATAATTTAAGATGACTCATAAAATATATGTCAGCATAAGAAGGCATAACAACCTCATTAACATGGCCAACAGGAAATTAGCAGCACTTAATCATATGGAGTGATGGCACAGACTATGCAATACTGGTGTCTGAATAACTGCCCGTGATCATGTTGTCATTTATATCCTTCATGTATTATAAGATATAATTTCAGACAATAATAAGCTTTTAAACATCAAACCCTATAAAACATAAAGTCTTTCCATATGGTTTATTTACAATGCAGTGCTTAGACACTGGAGATTGAGGCTAATAAAGGAACTTTAAAATATCAAATGGAAGATCAGAAATAACTAGATACATGTCCACTGAGGATAAATGAATTCTTGGAGAGGAAAAAAATCAAAAGATTCCTAAATATAATTTAGGGTTCATTTTATTACGGTTTAATTAAGGTTCTATATTATTTACAAATAACATAGAAATCCAGGATTTACGTAGAGAAGATAATCTCTCTTCCAGTCATTGCCATAAGCATAAGAATAAGTCAATGAGTAAGAAATGGCTTTGATACTGATGGGGTTGCAGCCCAGAGGGAGAACACATAAACAATGACCTCTGGTATATATTGATAAATGCTGTACAGACACATGCATGGAGTGCCTGGGGAGGACAAAGGAGAAAGCAATTAAAGTGCCAGCCTAGAAATTATAAAGAAGCATAGAAAGGGTTGTATAACAGGCGCAGCATAAGGAGAACTGTGAAATGGGAATAAGCATCTCTTCTCTCTCTACCCTCCCTGCACCGACTTCTCAAGATTCCAGCTCATCCTCAAAACCGATGTCAACCTTTTTTTATAAACACAATAGTTGCCTTACTGGTAGGAAATTCAGGGCCTGTAAGACATTTTCCGGAAAGCTCATCCAGGACGTTCCTGTCCTTCTGTACAGAAGGCTACCGACTTTGCCTTTGGGCCAGGTGGGTCACAGATGGAGGTCCAAAATCCAAGTACCAAATGGCCTTCCAATGCATTCACCACCTATTTCTAATTGGACTGTCTTTTACCAGTGTGCTCTCTCTGTCTCTCTTTAACAACTTAAAAAAGAATGTGAACATTTATCAACCGCAACACAAAATAAAATCTGTGATGAAGATGAAGGAACAAGAATTGTCTATGTGGAAATACCATCAAAAGATATGTATTACACATATAGCTGGAACTGAATGATTAATTTATTCACTTCAGCTACTGTCTCATTATATACAAAAATTTAGTATTATGAAGATCGACTAGACATATAGGCTGCAACTCTACAAAGTGAACTAGTAAAAAACTTTTGTTTTATTTAATATCAGCTATTTAAAAAGTAAAACAAGCTAAAATTTACATAATAGCAATATGCCACGTTATCATGGCAAGCACATTTTAAATCCATGAAGTCTATTTTATTATCTGAAACATATTTTGTCATATTTTTCTAAATAAAATCATAATATACATATTCAGGATCTGATTAATTGGGCATATGATAGTATTTCACTTAGATTTTGACGCTTGAATGATCTTAGCAGACTAGTATAAAGTGAAAATGAATTTTCCAAACATATTTTAATAAAACTTCCATAATACTTGAATCTAAAATAAACTCCTCTTATTGTAATAAAAATGTGATGTCTCTACCATATCTTCAGTCTTACATTTTCTCAGGTTACCAATACCCCAAGCCTCATGATTTGTATACAGAAGATGGCTAATACCATCAAACTAGGCTGGAATTAGAGCAAGAGGATTATTATGCATAATTATTGTGCATAATTTGTCTTCATTATGATACTTATAAAACTTGGATATATTCACTGTTACCTAGATGTTCTAAAAAAGCAATAGTACTCTGAAATTAATGAGAGGTTACAAGTTATATTGATCCAATATTCTTTCAATTATACGTAGCAGAGTGGTCTTATTATACGGAATTATAAGGGTGGGCTTATTATCTGGAACAATGGGAATGAACAGAACTTCCAAATCCTCCATACTTCCAAATAATCCATTAAGAACCTTCTCCATGGGCTCATTATGATAACTGATAATGTAAGCACATTCATACCTCTTCAAACTTTCTCCTACCTATAAGGTTTACAGTACTGTGACTGTAAATTCATCAAAGAGAGAATGAAGAGGTTTTGCTGCAGAAGATAGTTGGCACAGCTAAATGGTAGTAATATAAATGACTTTTATTATAAATTCTCAATATACAATAAATTAATTAAATCAAAGCCTAACCAAATTGTAGGTGAAGAAACCAAGGCACAGAGAAGTTAAGTGATTTGTCAAAACTGATTAAAAGAGGGAATGAGAGGGATCTTTTATTTTCCAGGAATTTATCAACTCTATTTAAGTTGTAAAAGATACAGCATCATGAACTAGAGCAGAAACAAATGAAATTGAAAACAGAAAATCAATAGAGAAAAATCAATGAGACCAAAACCTGGTTCTTTGAAAGGTCAATAAAATCAATAAGCATCTACTCAGGCTAAGAAAAAAATGACAAAACACAAATTACTAACATTAGAAATGAAAGAAAGGGCATCATTACAGACCCCAAGCATATTAAAAGCATAATAAAAGAATACTATAAACAACTCTATTCCCACAAATTTGATAACCTAGATGCAATGAAACAATTCCCTGAAAGACACAATTTGCCAAAACTCACACAAGAAGAAGTAGACAATCTGAATAGGCCTATATCTATTAAAGAAATTGAATCAAGACTTAAAAATCTTCCAAAACAGAAAGCACCAGGCCCAGATGGTTCGCTGGAGAATTCTATCAAACATTTAAGGGAGAAATTATACCAATTTGCTACAATCTCTTTCAGAGCAGAGAGGCAGAGGGAATACTTCTTTACTCATTCTATGAGGTCAGTATTACCCTAATACCAAAACTAGATAAAGACATCACAAGAAAATAAAACTACAAACCAATACCTCTGACGAACATAAACATAAAAATCCTTAACAAAATATTAGCAAATTGAATCCAACAATATATAAAAAGATTAATACACCAAGACCAAACAAGATTTATCCTAGGTTATGCAAGGCGGGTTCAAATTTCAAAAATGAATTAATGTAAGGATTTTTAAGTCAGTGAAAATATTCTGTAGATACCACAATAATAGATACATGGCATTATACACTTGTCCAACTCCACAGAATGTACAACACCAAGAGTGAACCATAACGTTAACTACGGACTTTGAGTGATTATGATATGTCAACTTAGATTCATCAATTGTAACAAACATACCATCTAATGGGGTATGTTGATGGAGGAGGTTATGCATGCGTAGGGCAGGAGGTATATGGGAAATCTTTGTTATCTTCTCCTCAATTTTTCTGTGAATCTTAACCTGCTCTAAAAAAAAGACTAAAGCTTTTTTAAAAGCTTGCTGAAAAAAAATTCACATGAGGCGCTCTTCATGTTTTTAATAATTATAACCACAAATATTTGTATAGCATTTACTGAGTACAAGGCACTATTCTATGCCTCTTAGATAGGTTAACTCATGTCACCTCACACCACCGTTGAGTCAAGGTCCTCTTCATCCTCACTTTATAGAGGACAGGCATTTGGTGCAGGTGCTGTGAGAGCACACAGCTAGCAAGAGGCCAACCAGGACGTGAACCCTGGCAGTTTGGCTCTCAGACACTGAGAGCTGAAATACCACCCTTGCCTCTCTACACTGATGGACTTGCAAGCCTCTACCTGGTGCGTGAAACTAGTCAACAGGACTGCATCATCATAGGCAGGATAGAGAGGTGCCCGTCATGTGATCATGAGCCTTGCCAGACCAAGAAGTATAGGAAGACACTTACATGAGGTGCAGGTGCTTCTAAGGAGGCCAGGGCCACACATTCAGAGATGCGTGCTTGGAAACAACAGGTACCTTCCCCATAGAAAGGTCTCCACTGGAGTCTCTTGAACCTT